CCCTAAACCCACAATCCCAAACCCCTAAACCCGAAACGCCAGAACCCTTGAACCCGTAAACCCACAACCCCTAAACCCGAAACCCCTAAACCGGAAACCCCTAAACCCCAAACCCCTAAACTCCTGAACCCCTAAACCCTAAACCTCTAAACCCGAAACCCCTAAACTCCCAAACCCCTCAACCCCTAAACCCCTCAACCCCTAAACCTCTAAACCCCTAAACCCCAAACCCCTAAACCGGAAATCCCTAAATCCCAAACCCCTCAAGCCCTAAACCTCTAAACCCTAAACCCTTACACTCCTAAACCCCTAAACCCCTAAACCTCTACACCCCTAAACTCCTAAACCCTTAAACTCCTAAACTCCTAAACCCCTAAACCCCTCAACCCTGAGCCGGTGGGCCTTTCAGCATGCTGGGCAAGGCGGCTTGCATCCTCTGGGTCACGTTGCCCTCGACGTCCTGTGCTCGAGGGAGGGTTGTTTTAGGGTTTGGGGTGTGGGATTCAGGGTTTTAGGGTTTAGGGTTTGAGGTTTAGAGTTTAGGGTCTAGGGTTTGGGGTCTGGGGTCTAGGGTCTAGGGTTTAGGGTTTGGGGTTAAGGGTTTACGGTTTAGGGTCTACCGTCTGGGGTTTGAGGTTTGGTGTTTAGGGTTTGGGGGGTAGGGTTCAGGGTCTAGGGTTTAGGGTTGGGTTTGGAGGTTTTTAAGGTTTAGGGTTTAAGGTTCCTTTAAGGGCTCCTTTAAGGACTCTGTAGGGCTGCTACAGGCTCGAGGGTTTAAGCTTTAAGGTTTACTGTTTAGGGTTTGGTTTGAGGATTCCTTTAGGGCCACCATAAAGGCTGCTGCAGGGGCTTTTGAGGCTTCGGGTTATTCAGGGCATTATGTGCTGTGCTCAGGGAGTGTTCGTGGTGCGTCAAGGATTGCTTGAGGTTGTCATTGTGATTCAAGGTCGTGTTGATAGCCTAGGTGTCGTTAAGTTAGGATGCTTGAGGGCGTTGGATCTAACCCTAAACCCTAAACCC